CAGGACATCGTCTGCTTGTTCTCCGCTATTATGTCGAGGATGATCTCTTTTCAATGTGGTTGTGATGTCTTCTCTCCTTCTCTGCCTAATAGTGGCGTTCCTCTCGGTTTTCCTCCAGTTCCGGTTTTTGAGTCGGTCATGGCTTTTGCTTGTTTGCATGTCGGGTTATGGATTAGTTTTCTTCTAGATTGTATGTGTCTTTAGCTGCTTTACCTTATTTTGCAGGTCTTCCATTCGCTAGTGGCTTCTTTGAATCTTTTCGGGTCTGGTTATGTTGTTTCATTCCTCTTTGGATTCTGCTTCAGCTGTTTTAGGTTTTGTCTCGCTTCTAGTTTCTACAATTTGAGTCTTTTCAAGATCTTCACCTTCGTTATTGGCTATTCTCGAGACGTTATTAACAATTGGATTTGTTCACCGTCATCTCTGGAAGTGTTTGTGTTGCTTGATGCTTCCGGCTTGTCAGAGTGTTTAGCTTGGGCTTTGATTTGTGAGGTATATCTTATTCGTTGTAGGAGGTTTCAATTGTGTGTTCTTGCGATTGGTGTTGATGGTGGTTTGTTCGGTTAGGTAAGTAGTTTTGGTTCAGGTAATGTCTGTTGTCGTATTTGATCTTAGTAATTTTTGTATCCCGATTTTGCTTGATATAAATTGAGCTGGCAGAAAAAGAAGTTGTTAACCACTGTTAGTGTAGATGATCCTTAAAGTAGCACCAATTATATCGTTCTTGTCGTTGCTTCAAGTGACTGCAAAGATTAAAATATAAACTCAAATTTTAATCAAACTTGTAAAAGTATATTATTAAGTTTTGGTAGTAATGTACAAGTTTTTCCATCAACAAGGATTAAATCAATTGTCCGTAGAAGAAAATCTGCATTTGCCATGATCATCACTGACTCATTTCACTTTAACTATATGTTGGTTAATGTTTAACATTTTCTCATATTTCCATTATTTTGGGGAATCCAAAGCTACAACTCACTCTCTCTCATTTTGTAAATAACACAACATCAATCCTTATACTCAACGTAAAAGTAAATCCTTCAATCAATTATAATTTTGAAAAATATAAGAATGGTAGTAGGCCCAAAATACTATCAACTTAATTTTTCAATAATCAACTATTCATGAGAGACTAAATCAAATGAACTAAACATTATATAAAGTGAACAAAAGCCATAAACTTTTCGGTGTTCCTTATTCTTGATCTATTCACATATATAATTTTTAATAATCTTATATTTTATGTGTAATCTATATTTTTTTTTAATTGATCACGTGAAATAATATCCTTTTTATTCTGTAAATTATTGTACAACAGAATTAATTACATTTAAAAATAATTTTAATATGTGAATTATTTAGATATTTTTATAATTTCGATTTCAAAAGAAAAGAATTAATTTTCTAGTTTTTGAAAACATAAGTTAGTTTTCAAAATACACAAAAGTTTTGTCATATTTTTATAAATTTTCTCTAAAACAAAATATAAAATTAAAAAATTAGTATGTATTTGAAAGATATATTTTATTACAACCGAATTGAATCAAAACCGAATACTAATTGTTTGCAAAATCTACCACAAATCACTATACATCGGAAGGAAAATACGCTTCTATTCTACCTTTGGCATTAAATGATGGTAGGTTGTGGTAGATTTTATTGGTGGACGAGAATGCTGATAAAACACTAAGAATTTGGAAATTTGGTGGAGGAGAATATTGATATATCCTATATTTTATCACTTTCACTATCTAGTTTAATATATTTTCTATGCAATTTATTAAGGCTTTATGCCTTTACAGGTAGTTTTTCTCGTATTTGTAGTTTTAGAGTCTTAACAGGAAAATCAATAAAAAAAAAAGCAAAAAAGGTCAAAAGAAGTGTTAGCTATGATACATCTACTTACTCAAGTCAAAGGAACCAACTCAAGTCATTATATCTTCAAGATAAAGCATATTCTCAAGTTGGAAAAAACATATACGCAGAAAATTTAGCAATAAATGGAGAATCAAATCAACTTGGAATTAGATGAAACTTGTTCAGAAAATTTAAAGTTTCGTTAGGTTTCCAATGGAGTTATAACTACATCATTTGGAGCAGTAGTTTGGAAGATACACCTGAATTACAAAAGGCACGTCAAATTACCTCGAAGCTGAAGCAAGGCTAGAATCAAGCCAAGCACCAGGCTAGTCCGTGGACCGATGTTCCAGCGTAATGCCAACATGAAGTAAGGCACTTTTAGACCTAGCACCGGTCGAATTCCTTGGCCGTTGCTTGGCCCGATATTGGAGCAGTTTCGACCAAAAGACTCTTTTGTCCTAAACTTAACCCTTAGAAGACTTAAACCTATGTATACTTGTTTTTAGCCTCTTTAGGAGATTAAGCAGCAATAAGCAAGAGAGCATGCCTAGGGCGGCGACCTCTCTCTTCTCTAAACAATAAACACGTTTTTTATCTTTGTTCTTCATTGGATTTAGATTTTAAGAGCTTCTTGGAGGAGATTTCGCTTTTTACCTCGATATTGTAACGTCCGTGAACCAAAATTGAGAATTTTGGAAGGTTCGAATTGAACCGGTTGGTTTGATTTTAATCGTCGGTTTTCGTTTCGGGTTATGTGAACCCTAGGGCTCGTGTATAAAAGGGGAGAGCAGCCGCAGGTCAGCGTTTTTCAGAGAGGAAAACAAGGTTTGAGTGTTCTTGTTTCCTTGAAGCTAAGAAAAGGCGTGATTGAGGCTTTGGAGGCAGTTATGTCCGGTTTTAGAAGAGGAGAGTAACGGCCAGTAAGAACAAATCAGATCGGAGCAAAACTTTCAGGGTAAGTTCTCCACTCTCTGTTCTTGATAAAAGAGAAAAAGGTTTGTCAATCGGATGTGTATTCTAGGATTTACCATTGTTTGACTAAGAGAGGTTTGTGCTGTTTCGGGTTTGCGATCAGTCCACTTCGAGGGAGGATTCCCGTCGAACCAGAAAGACTCAGAAGACGATCCGCATACCGTTGAATAGAACTCTCTCTATCTAATTTCCAAATAAAGTTTCTGATCCTGATTCTGAGATAATATCCATTCTCTGTGTGCTTTTGAAATCAGCGTGTCGTTTCTGTTTCTGAAACCATAATTCGGTTTAGGGGTTTTTGGAGAAAAGATCGAGGTTTTGTTGGTTCGTGAGAAAAAAAGATAGAGCATAG